TATCTTGAGTACTGTAGAAAAGATGTCACTTATTCCTTTAAGGCTGTTTTGTAATATATATATAGAGAGAGAACCAAATGTAGAACTAGAACCAGTTTCCAAGACCCTGTATATATATATAGTCAGTCTCTCTCTCTCTCTCTCTCTCTCTCTCTCTCTATATATATATATATATATATATATATATATATATATATATATTCTTCTGTCCATAGCTAGACAACAGTAATATTAATGTTTCCTTTTACAGTTGAGGAAACTGAGGCCCAAGGAGGTTAAATACAAAATGAGAAGTTGGAAATCAGCTCGGTTTGGATGCACTCTGTATACCACGAACTTCCTTCTATTCCCTTAGCAGGCTGGTGAGTGCGCGTGTGTGCGTGACTGTGCAAGTGTTTCCCTTTTTCTTTATAAAACTCTCCTGCTCTTGATCAGTTTTCTCCTTTCTACTTTTTTGAGACAAAGTCCAGTACTTCTCCAAGGTCCAAGGTCTCACCACCCCCTCAGCCATTTCTCTGGCATCCCAAGGACGGCCAGCCAYTCCCCCGCTAAGTTCAGAGTCCCTGCGCTTGACTCTGATTCCGGGATCCGCTCCCACCCTCCAGGGACTTGCGCTTTGTCGCGATCCCCCCTGCGCCTCACCGATCCTCCGGGACTCGGGTGCCTGCGCTTCGGCCCCGCCTCCCCTACCTGACGCCCGCGCCGCCGGGGGCGCCGCAGCCTCCGCCCATCGGCGCGCCTGCTTTGCCATTGGTTCTCGGTGCTGCCCGTCTCCTCCGCTGGGTCCCGGAGGCAGGTTTTGCCCGAGAAGCCGCAGTCCCGGCGGCTCGGGCGCAGCGCGGGAGGACAGTGGAGCGCATAKCGCGGATCTGAGCGGGCATGTCCCCCCTTGCGGGAGTCCCCGTCGGCCGCCGGGCCCAAGCAACTGCTAACTTGGTGGCGGGTTCCCGCGGCCCTGCCGTGGCTACGTAGTGGCCGGCGGGGCTCCCCGGAGCCTGGGAGCGGCAGTGAGATCTAGCCGGAGCCCAGCAGCCCGCGCCTACTCCAGAGGTGCCGAGTGCGCGTGGCTCCCGCTGCACCTCGGGCAGCACTTTGGCCAACTGGGAAATGGGGGAGAAAGTTTCGGAGGCGCCAGAGCCGGTGGCCCGTGGCTGTAGTGGCCACGGCGCTCGGACTCTTGCCCCTGCGGCAGCCGCCTCGTCCTCGATGGGCGCTTCCTCCGCCGAGTCTTCCTCTGGCTCTGAAACTCTTTCGGAGGAAGGGGAGCTGGGAGGCTTCTCCCGCAAGTCGCAGCAGCCTGCGCCGCCGGGCGGCGCCCTGGGTGCCMGACCGCCCGCCGCGTGGGCTCCCGCGCGCGTGGTGCTGGAGCATGGAGTCCCTACATTGCCGCTGCCACTCGGAGGAGCCGCGCCACCCGCGCCCGGGGGCAGCAGCGCGTCCCAGGAAGAGCAGGACGAGGAGGTGGGCCCCGCTGTTTCCCAACTCGCCACCTCAGGGTCCAGACAGCCGGGCAATCGCCGCTCCCGGTTCTATGCACATGCCGTGGACAGTGGAGCCCAGTGGCATGGAGAGGGGAGGCATACCTAGTTGACCTAGTGTAATTGACAGTTAGGAGCCTTTCGGGAGGGTCATTGACTTCCCTGTGGCTGTTACCTCTGTGTGTGTGTGTGTGTGTGTGTGTGTGTGTGTGTGTGTGTGTGGTGTCTGTCTACCATTGCTGCCTGATGGAGTGCTTTTAAAATGTCAAAGTTGCAAACTCCTTAATGTCTGTGTGTGGTCAGTCAGCGAAGGGATGCTACGCTATCTGAACGTCTGACTTGTACCCACAACTGAGATCTGATTCTTCGGAGTCGGGGTTGCTAAGCACTGACTTGGGTGCGCTTGGGTGGAGAGGGGGAGATGGTGCTTGGGGCAGGGAGGGAGCTTAGCCGCGAAGTTGCAAGGCGAGGTCTCACTGGCGTCAGCCCCAGAGATCGCCAATGGGTGGTTTTGGCGGGTCGCTGCAGCACGCATCCTCTGGGATAGGAGAATTTACAGTGCTCTTCCAGCAGTACCTCAGTTCCGATTCGGACTTGTTTCCAGGGTGTTCAGAGGAGTGCAATCACTGAACCTAGTAGGAAACTCCTACCTTGTTCGGAGGACTTGGTCCTAGTTTCCTGGAAGAATGCCCATTTAGAACTTGTGGGTCCCTTCTTGACTGAATTCGGGGTTCACCTAGCTCCTAACTCTGCTTTGTTTCTGCTTTGAAGGACAGTGAATGAAGTATAAGGTTCTTTGTGACTCTAAGATTGTTTGCTTTGGACGTTTCTTGTGGGGAAGTCATTCTGATTAGGCAGGGCCATAAATAAAACATTACCCTAACGTAGCCTCCTTGTGAAATTAATTCCTTAGTGCCAGAGTGGTTAGCTTGTAAGTAATTGTCTTTGTCCCGAGAAGAATCAAACTGAGGCCAATGCCCTGTTGGTAGCTTTCTGGTTCTCCCTCTTGGAAGCAAAGACTGAATCTGGCATCAAGGGTGTGAAGCAAGTCCTAGCCTGGCTGAGATGGAATGAACTGTAGTTGGTGGTTGGTCAAACCTCCGGCAGAAACCATGACCCATTCCCCAGTGCCYCTGGGGATTGCAAGGACCCCAGTCTGGTGCCTGGAGATTGGCTTTCTAGAACTGCTTCTGATGAGTGTGAGACTTTGGGCCTGATTCATTCTGCAGATTCCATTCTCTAATCTGTATAATGAGAAACTTCAAGGTAAAGTTCATTTCCACACTACTACTACTTTTTCTGATCAGGAATTTTGGATGGATCCAAAGTGTCAGATTGATCCTAGTGGCAGTATGCCGGAAGTTTGTTGAGTGCCACACTTACACAATGATTTGTCATGGCAGAGAGGTGACCAAATCCTGTACTGTAACAGCATTCCTCATTGGTATTCATCCTTTAAATTCTGACCCAACTTGTAGAGATGAGCACACTGTCACTGGGAAGCTGGGACTATAACTTAAAGATTTACCACTAGATCCTAAGCTAGTGTTTTCAGGGTAGAGAAGATGGTAGAATTAATTGTCCTGTGTTTTCTGTTTAGCTAGGAGGATATGCCACGGTAAATAGCAAGGTCTGGCAGATGGAGGGGAAGGGGAGTTGGGAACTTTTCACTTTTGATCCCAATTCTGTAGTTGATTTATTATCTGGCCTTAGGGTGACAATATTTTACTTTCTGGGAAGTGGATATAATAATAGCTTATTTCCCAGGCAATGCAGTGAAGATTGTTTGATTGAAACACATTTGGAGAGTGGAATGACTAAATAACATTGGCCACTGTTTGTGAAATCTCAGAATTGGATGTAAACGGATACAGTATTGCAATTTATTATGTAACTTAACCTGTGTCAGGGGATGTTGGAAATTGTCAAGGAGTGAAATCTTGACTTGCCTTGAGAAGTTTGAAGCAAAACTAAAGCCAGGTAGTTTATACCCCCTCACCCCCACCCGGAACAATGTAGAAATGATAATTTTGGTGAGAAGTGTAGAAGTCCAGTATATAATTTTTGGTTCTTACACTGATGTCAGGATAGTGAGGTGGGTCTTAATCTTTTGTGGAACTGTGGTCCTCTTTGAGAATTTTATGAAAACTATCTTGTACCTCTTCTTATAAAATACACACAGTTACAATTTCYATTCCAGAGGGTTCAGGAATGCCAGGTTATAAACACTGTAACAAGTCCTGGGTTTGATTTCTAGCTTGATCACCTTGACTAGGTATGTTATCATGGTCCACTTTACTTCTGATAAGCCTCAGTTTTCTCACCTCTTAATGGGAATAAGTAAGTAATAGAGTTGTTACAGACATTTTATACATGCCATCAAGTTTAATCATAGCACAGGAGCTAATATACAGTATTGAGTGCTGTGTTAGCTTTTTGTTGCTGCGACAGAATACCTGAGGAGGGGAAAATGTAAAGGAAGAGAGATTTATTTGGGCTCACAGTTCAGAGGTTTCAGTCCATTGTTGGCTGCCTCTGTTGTTTGGGGCCTGAGGTTAGGCAGAAATATCATAGTGGAAAGGCGAGGTGCAGGAAAGCTGCTCACCTGTGACAGCCAGGAAGGAGAGAGAGAGAGAGAGAGTGAGAAAGAGGGGGAGACAGGGACAAGATACACCCTTCCAGGGCACACCACCAGTGACCTACTTCTTCCAACTAGACCCTGCCTGCTAAAGTTTCTGCCACTTCCCAAATAATGCCATCAGCTCTGAATCCATCAGTGGATTAATCCATTGATAAGGTCAGCGGCTTTATGATCCAGTCCTTTCCCAAGAGTCCCACTTCTGAACATTGCTGCATTGGGGACGAAGCCTTCACATTGGGGGACATTCTAGATCCAAACCATAACCAGTGTCAAGTACATATTAATTTTTAAAGTTCATTTGTGATAAAATTTTGTGAAGTTGAAGTGCAATGTTGATCTGGCCTGTTGTTTTATTAACATATAATTTATATGCAATCTACTTCCAGAGAATCTGAGATTGTCTACTCAGTTTAGTCTCATTTTATTAGTATAAGCTGGGAAAGGGGTTTTATTTGTCTCTGTTTGCACTATGAGTTTGTATTACAGAGCTGAGTGTAGGCTTACACTGTGAGTTGGGTGTCTGATTGTAGGGTTGCATTGAGCCTGGTGTTACATTGTAGCAAGTTCCCAGTATAAAGCACTGAAGGCTTAAGTACAGCTTATAAAATGGAAAGAAACTCATCTTAATTTAAAAATTGTTATATCTGGCTTAGGAGATTCATTATTTTCCAGTGGGTATTTTTTTAACAGCAACTTATTGCATCAATTTTTAAAAAACAGCAAAATTCAGGTTTCTATTGTATTATTGCAGTGCTGATTTTTTGACAACCTTGTTATAACTATTTTGAATATATCTAGTAATGTCACAGTGTTTGATCTACTTCATATTTTATCTTCTGTCAATATTTGTAAAAATGTACAAAGTTTCATACACTTAAGTCAATCCCATAAGTTATTGGTGTCTTTAATTAATTAATTAATTAATTAGTAAACACATTTAATAAAAATGTGTTTACTACTGAATAGCAAACACAAGAGAGAGGGCAGGTGACTTTTTGCTTAAAAGAACTGCATCTGCTTTGTCTGTCTGTGTGGGTTGCTGAGTATCCTGCCTTCCGTAGTTAAGATGATCTAGATTGGAGTACTGTTCCCCTGACAACGTTGCTGATATTTGCCTCAGGCATTCTGCCTTGTCCTTTTCCCCAAAGCACCTTGAATGACTCCAGTAAAGCGCTCTGTGGCTTTTGGTAACTGTTGATTGGTAAACTGGATGAGAGCAGGGATTGTGTTTCTAGCCCAACACGATGCCTCTAATGTATTAGCAGGGACTCAGTAAACATGTTGGATGGATCAGAAAATAATGACATCTCTGAAAATAGTTGCACATTTGATTGAAGGGTGACTGTGTGTATTCACTTTTTTTTGTCTTTTGTGAATTGTGATGCTCATATCTCTGGACCCTCATCCAGGAAAATCCAAGTGGATCAGAGCAGAAAATGTCATGAATGAGATATCCTATTTAAATGTTACAGAGATGGTTTTGTCCTCAGGGAGCTTCTCGACTAGAGGGGGAGCTAATAACTAAACACATGATTATTAATTAATTGGTTTCAAAGGTGGCAGCTAGGAAAACACGCTGTGAGAGAGTGCTTGATTGCACTGCAGAAGTTGGTGAGGAGTGTGCAGGTTAAGGACAGCCTCAGCTGGGGAAGTGATATTTGAGCTGAAGACCTAAGGGATGAACAGGAGTTAAATGAGCAAGGGAGTGAGGAGGTCCAGAAGGTCCTGAAGTCAGAGAGCACAGAGTGGGGCTGTACTTTAAGAGAAAGCTGGCTAGCTTGGCAGGGAGGATGGGGGCCAGAGCATTGGAAGAGGTTCTAGAGAGAAGCTGCAGCTGGGGAGGCCAAGCAGCATGAGGCCCACCTGTTGGGGACCACTGAGATATCCTATTTAAATRTTACAGAGTTGCAATTGGTAACCTGAGAAGATGCCCTCTTAGTGAATCGTAAGTAGATGAGATAGGGGAGGATCATTCCTGGTATGTTAGGCACTCCAGGAAAATACATAAGAATTTATAATAGGAAAGGAATTTAGATCTATTCCAGGAAACATCTTAGTGTGAATAAGTGCCACTTCCCAGTATGATATCATCTTAAGCCTAGTATTTTCTCGAAGGAGAAAGTTTATTGACATGAGCAGAGAGTGAGAAGGGGGTCTTACAGGTGCTCATTTCCATAGTAAGTTGTGGGGACACATTTATCCCAGTTGAGCAAAAGGGGACATGGCCTGAGGGTTGTGCCCATGTTGACAGGAAGTGTGGTGTTCCTGGGCTAACAGGCACTACCAGAGCCTGGATTTTCCTCAAGAGGAAAGGGCAGCTTTTATCCCTTCCCTGCTGATCT